CCCGACCCATAGGTTGAGAACCACTGTTTTAGGCCTCCACCGCCATGTGCAAAAAAAGAAAGATTCAATCAATCAATTTCAACTTCTCAGAGGAAAAAAAAAGATCTCGCAAAGTTGGAATTGATTGAACTTTTTAGTCCCACCCAGTCTGCTGTTACCACTGCAGCCACACCCACCCAATGGGCCACGCCCACCCGGCACTCGACGATACATAGGTGGGTTTTGGGTTGCAATTTTGGCACTCGGTCTCTAAAAACTTCCTGATGCCTTAATCACTGGACCAAACTGTCTCTCTGTAATGTTGGGGTAATTATGAAAGGGGCCTCAAGGAGCTGTCTATTCAGCAGGATAACTCTCTGAAAACTAAACAGAACTGGACAAAATTTTGCATGGGGAAAGATGCAGCAAAAGAAAGATGAAGTCTCAAAATTAGACCATTTGGGGGAAGAATCCCATTTCAGCATCCCCATGGTCACATGATCAAAACCCAGATACTTGGCAACAGGTTCATATTTATGATAGTTGCAGTGTCCCAGGATCAACTTTTGACATCTTCTGCCAAGCACAGTCAACTATGTTACTAATAAGGTGACCAATCGTGCTCGTTTAGGGAGGACAGTCCTTCTTTTGTGAGTTCTGTCCTCTCTCGAAAAGTGTCCTCCTACATGTCCTCCTTTTCAATTTTTGAAGACTAATTTCCGTATTCGATTGATGCCGATCCGATCCGTTGCGTGTGATGTGACGTATTTGTATCTGACATTCGTCAAGGCTCGGTACAGAGCAGTGAGACACGATTATGAGACACATGTGCTCCGCACAGGAGAATTGTTTTGAGAGAGTGTGCTGCGCGCAAGCTCGCGCGCAAGTGGCTTTGTTTACTTACCAAAACGCGACATGGCACACACGCACGCATTAGACTCACTTCTTTCTCAGTGAATATTCAATCGTGCACAGGTGAGCACAATAATTCACGTTTTATTAATTCGTTATCTATTTAATAATTTCCAAATATGTATAATTTTATTTACAAGTTTATTCGCTTATGTTATTGTTACAAATGTTTTTATTATGCATTTATCATATTATAGTGTATTCTGTATTATTGTTACAATGAATAAAATGTTTTTTTTTATTTATATTTTTTTTCTTCAATTTATTTGTGTCCTCCTTCTCATTGTAAAAAAATTGATCACCTTATTACTAACTTTACAACTGCAGTGATTCACTTAACAACTGTGGCAAGAACTGAGCCCAAAATTTCCACTGCTAAGCTAGGCAGCTGTTAAATGAATCGCTGTAGTTGTTAAGTTACTGCAGGGGTCTTCAAACTTGGCCCTTTTATGACTTGTGGACTTCAACTCCCAGAATTCCTCAGCCAGCGTGCTTGGCTGAGGAATTCTGGGAGCTGAAGTCCACAAGTCATAAAAGGACCAAGTTTGAAGACCCCCGAGTTAGTGACATAGTTGATAAGTGAACCTGGCTTCCCCATTGACTTTGCTTGTTAAAAGCTCCCAAAAGGGGATCACCTGACCGCAGGGACACTGCAACCATCATAAATACAAGCCAGTTGTCAAGTCCCTGAGTTTTGATCACATGACCACAGGGATGCTGGTCATAAGTATGAAAAATGGCCTCTAAGTGACAACTACCAGTAAAGATTGGAAAAGATTTCTGAAGCAATGCTTTGTATTTGATACCAATTTTGCTGCTTTTAGGCTGTTTCTTTTAGCCATAACTTTCTCCCATTTGCTTTTTTCATGAGGAAAAAATAGTTTTTCCCATTGAAAAAAAAGCAACTAAATGAGCCCTTTGGGGGAGTTAATTAGCTGAACTGATTTATTGGCTGGGTTTGCAGGCAGTTAAAACAGGAACAGATAATCTGAGGTTCAGGATGTTTATTTAGTCAGCCAGCTATTGCCTGAAAGCATTATGGGAAACAGATGATCGTGTTAAACCACGATATGCTTTTGCCTAAGCATGAGAGGTTATGTGAACATAGAAATTATACTTAGTTAAAATGGACTGAGGTTTATGTTACTGTATGAAGTCCATCATTGATTCTTCATTTGGTCTTGAAGTTGTTTCTCACTAGACCAGTGTCTGTTAACTTTGTCAAGTTTAATAAGTATGGACTTCAACTCCTAGAATTGCCTAGTCAGTTTGGCTGGGGAATTCTGGGAAATGAAATCCACACATCTTCAAGTTGCCAAGCTTGAGAAAGAAGGCCCTTAGATACAATTAATGTTAAATGTCTGGAGGTGTGTAACTAGAGCTCAAATAAAACTGGACTTCTCTGCAATTGAATCAAATATAAGAAAGGCTGAGCGACAAAGAATTGAGGCCTTTGAACTATGGTGCTGGAGAAGACTCCTGCGAGTCCCTTGGACTGCAAGGCGTTCAAACCGGTCAGTCCTAGAAGAGATCAACCCTGACTGCTCTTTAGAACGCCAGATCCTGAAGTTGAAACTCAAGTACTTTGGCCACCTAATGAGAAGGAAGGACTCACTGGAGAAGAGCCTAATGCTGGGAAAGATGGAGGGCAATAGAAGAAAGGGACGACAGAGAATGAGGTGGCTGGAGGGAATCACTGAAGCAGGAGGCGTGAGCTTAAATGGACTCCAGAAGATGGTAGAGGACAGGAAGACCTGGAGGAATGTTGTCCATAGTGTCGCGATGGGTCGGACAAGACTTCGCAATTAACAATAGTTTCTGACTGTCATCTGAGGGCTGGGAGCAAAAAAATTAAGAGATGTATAAAGGAATAGTATGATCATCTTGGGGTTTTTTACGCAAACATACCCCCTCCCCCCAAAAAAGTTTTTACTGTTGAAACTCAAAATTCATCGTTCAGTTGCTTAGCTGTTACATTACATCTTAAGATATAGATGGCTTGGTTTGTTTCTGAGCAGCCAAATCAGAATCCAGAATCAATGACTTCCACCACAGTAATTTTCTTAGGTAGATTCAAACTAGAGAGGCCAAGAACTCAATCTTGGTAAGGAGGAAGATGGAAAATGGGCAAGGACACTCAACTTTATTTCTGAGAACTGGAAATTCTAAGTAATAGCTTCATCCAGGAGTATTCAATTTAGACCTTCAAATAGGCTGGTGTTTTCTGAATTAGATCCTTGAGTGCCATCTACTGCTACCTTTATGAACTTCCAATATATTTCAACCAAAATCAAGTATTCAAAATTTAATTACAATGAAAGGAGCTTGTTATTGCTTATCATTTTATATTTCATAATTTAAACACAGGAGAAACTAGTTATAAATACAATACATACAACAGTATTCTTAGCTATCTGCAAGGAAACCCAAACAAGGCAAATGGAAAAAACATACATTTGGCTGGAAAAGAGACCAGCCTAAATTCTGCCCTAACAAGATGGCAGCAAAAAGCTAACCTTGGTTGATCTTGAAAGATGCTAAGCAGGACTGCCAGGCTACCGTGGGAAATCAGCACACCCTCCCCAGAAGGAAATATTAAAGAGGCAGAAAAGCATGCCCAGTTTTTTTAATAGCCCAAGTCTCCCTCCCCCAAACAGAAACCAGCTCTATAGAAATGCAGATGTAAATAATCCAGGAAAGTTGGAGGAAGCTTACGAAGACAAAGAAACCTAAAATCTACATACCCCACCCAAACTCTAAGACAGAATTGGATTAACCCAGATGCACACTCAAACTCAGATCAAAGTTCATACAACGGGAACAACTCCAAACAAGATGGTATAAAAACCCACTCCCTACATGTGCTCACTCTTTTTTCTTCCAGAGCCATCTTTCTGTCTGGCTCTCTTCTTCAATAAACTGCAAACTTCTTTCTAAAGCAGTCACCATGTTGTTTATTCCTGGCTTGGACTGAACCATGATGAAGACTTTTCCTTCAACCATTGAATGAAGGATTGTCAGAAAATCCCATGAAAAATAACTAGAAACTCCAACAGCAATGTTCCAGTATCTGAGGGGCTGCCACAAGGCAGAGGGGGTCATGTTATTCACCAAAGTATCAGAGGGCAGGACAAGAAACAATGGTTGGAAACTGACCAAAGAGAGAAGCAACCTGGAATTGAGGAGAAATTTTCTAACAGTGAGGACAATTAACCAGTGGAACAGCTTGCCTTCAGAGTTTTTTAAGAAGAGACTAGACAGTCACTTGTCTGAGATGGTATAGGTTCTCCTGTTTGAGCAGGGGGCTGGACTAGAAGACCTCCAAGGTCCCTTCCAGCTCTATTCTATTCTATTATTATTCTATTCTATTTTAAACTATTTTCTAGCTCTGCAGAGTTGACATAGATTGAAATTGTCCGCCTCTTACAGCCTGAATCTGTGCTGATGGGTTCAGAAGTACTTCTACAGTTGTGTTTGTACTGTGTTTGTTAAAGATTAAAGCTCCAATTATTACATATAGAACATAGAACATCATCAAAGTTGGAAGGGGCCTTGGAGGTCTTCTAGTCCAACCCGCTGTTCAAACAGGAGATCCCTATACCATTCTAGACAAATGGTTTGTCCACTCTCTTCTTAAAAGCCTCCAGTGATGGAGCACCCACAACTTTAAAGCGTCCCGAAAGCAATTCCTTCTCCGCTCCTCCATGCCTCTCTTCTCCTCCTTCCTTCTCCTCTCCCACCTGTATCTTGCGCGCCCATTGCTCTTTGTCCTACAAGCAATCCGTTCACACGTAACACCTTTAACCCGGTTCCTGGACTGACTTGATTTCCCGGATTGGTGCAAGACCCAGAACGGACCGCGCTAGCTCCGCTACAAACAAACATTTCTTGCCCAAGTTAATAATCGCCAGGATGAACTTTGCAAAAAACAGCTGCCCGACTCGCCTCTCTCCGAGCAAACTTAAACTCGCGCCCTAAGCCTGTCCGCCGCTCCAAAATGCGCATGCGCCGCTCATCTCCCTCCCATTCCAAGCGCCGGTGGGTTCTGCGCCTGCGCCCACCGGCTCAACTCCGCGAAGTTTCGCGAACGTTCCCGAAAGTGCCGATTGGCACCGTCCGGAATGAGGAAGAGGCGGCGACTTCCTTCCTGTCAATCACTCAGTCAATAGTGCAGGATCGACCGGCTTTGCTCCTTCACCCGCCATGGATCTGCTCTGCTACAACCGGGGATGCGGGCAGCGCTTCGACCCCGCCACCAACACGGAAGGTGAGCGCCTTTCCCCCCGAATCGTCGCCTTCCCGCCTTCCAGAGAGCGGGAACTCTAGTCCCCATGGTCCGCAGCCAGCACGGCCGGCAGAGAGCGATGGGATTTGGAGCCACAGCTCCTCAGGAGGGAAGGCCGTGTTACGGGTGCTTATGGGGATGGTAGTCCCGCTAGTCTGGGGAGGGCGAAGGGGGTTGTGGAAACTTTGTGGTTGGGGGAAGGTTTAGCCTGCCTGACGGATTGTGGGGGAGGCGGAAAAACAAAACCTCGGAGGAAGGGAGAAGCCTACCAGAAAGCCCCTCGAAGATAGATGGACTTCAACTCCCAGAATCCCCCAGCCAGCCTTTCTGGTTAGGGAATTCTGGGAGTTGAAGTCCACCCGTCTTCAAGCGGCCCAGATTGAGAGACATCGACTTGGAGCAGGGGTTCTCAACCTTGGCAACTTTAAGACTTGTGGACTTCAACTCCCAGAAGTCCTCAGCCAGCAAAGCTGGCTGAGGAATTCTGGGAGTTGAAGTCCACAAGTCTTAAAGTTGCCAAGGTTGAGAACCCCTGACTTGGAGCCTCCTTTGGAGTCCAACTTGACCCCTGAATTTCTCTTGACCACTCCGGCTAAAGTGATCTGTGGTGATATAAATAAAATAAATGTATTTATACGTAAGAGCGTAGGTACACCCGTATGTATGTGTGTATATATGTATGTATGCATATAGCATACTTGTATATGTGTTATGTATGTGTACACTTTTGAGAGCAGACAACAGAATTTCATTTTTTAATGTGTGCCAGTGTGTCCACAGTAAAAAAAAAAAAAAAATGACAAAGGTTATCTTAAATAAAACAGAATGGCAGGATTGTCTTCTTCCTGGATGGTGTTTTGACTTGCCTGCTAAATGGGCAGCTGTGGAATTTGGTCTGACTCCATTTGGACTGTCAAGGTCCCCTAAGGTCATTAGTGCTAATCATCGGTGGTAAACTCTATATAACACGGTTTTACAGTGTTCAACAACACAGGAGTGGTCCATAACTGCCTTTTTGTAGAATGCTCTTTGACTTCTTCATCTGGTACACCTCAACACCTGTCTGGCCTACAACCCTGGTAGTCCACTTTTGAGATCTGTAAAAGTTTGCTAGGGATAGTAAAGAAGAAAAGAGAGGAGACTTATATACAATTGTTATACACAATAGGCTTTCAAGAAATACACAGAAACTTAAGTTGGCTGGTGCTTTGGTCAGCTTGAGATGTCCCCTTAAGATGTCCCCTGCGGCCAAAAGCTTGATTATTGTCATAATTGTTCATTATCTGATGGATTTTAATTTTTCAGTTGTATGAATCTTATGATTGCTTTACATTCTGTGTTTTTTAATTGCCATAAGCTGCTTTAAATATTGTAATAAGCTGAAATAATAGTACACATGTACTTCTCACCTATTGGCAACTCCACAATCCCTGTAAATGATGTTTGACAAGTTCCAGCAGGTGAAAACATGTGGGTTCTTCTGTGCTTTATTAACAGCTTTCCCCCCTTCAGATCTGGATCACTGCACATCCCTTGTAACATAAGATAGCATTTGGGATATTAGCAATTTTGTGTGTGGGGGGGGGTGAGCATTCTTAGCCCCCTTTTGCATATGTGGAAATGTTTAATTATAACTTCTAATACCTAAACTGAAATCATTGTTAAGTACTTTTTGGAAGTTGCAAATATGTACATGCCTATCTTTTTCTTCCATGTCTCTTTTCAGCAGCAGTTTTCACCACATCTTTTTTAACCTTATGATATTTTGTGATAATGTTAAAGAAGAATACTTTGTCAGAAAGAAACTGCATGGATTGAATGGTTGAAACACCAGCAGACTGTGACCAGCAATCTCCTTCCATGTCTTCTACCTTTGGGAAGGCTTTAATTGTTATTTTTCAAAATGTTTTCCCGAATGGAGTTCTTTGTGGCATGTGTTCATCCTCGATCAGTAAAGAATTGGCAACAACATAGCAGAGGGCTAGTGAATGTAATGTACAGTCATTTTTAATGTGTGCCAATGTGCCCACAGTAAAAAAAAAATGACAATAAAGGTTATCTAATTCTCAATATTTATAGTAGCTACTTTCTGTAAAGATGCGAACATTGAATTGGTTAATACTGAAACCTCAGTTGTGAATGTGTTTGTCAGACGATTCAAATTTTTTGCTCTGTTGCATGTGCGTGAATGACCATGAAATCACTGCAGATACTGATTGCAGTTACAAATTTTGGCAAGTAGGCAAAGTCACAAATACAGAATAATGTGAATAATGTGAATAATGATAATCTACTATATTTATCCCCATCCCCTTATCTGATGTTTAGATGTCATTGATTGTTTTGCTGAGTTCTTCCTTTTTTAAAAAAAAAACATGATTTAAATATTTGTGAGGTAATACTAATATTTCTGCGGAGTTTATGTGGTGGTCATTAAGGAAGAACTTTATTTCTCTTGCACAGTTAATAGTTCAACCCTATTTTAGAACATAACTTTAAGCAATATGCATGACATTCATGTGGAATGTACACTTATAATGCTTGGTGGGATACGTGTTGTACAAATGAAAGTTTAATATAACAGAATTATGATTTACTAAGAAAAAAATCAGTTATATTTCTTTATATAGCAAATATTATATACTGTGGCAGTAATAACTAGAGCAAATATTATTATATAATACACTGCGGCAGTAATAACTAAATGACATTCTCTTTCCCCGAATAGCCTACATTCTAAATTTAGACTAACAGAACCCAGCAGAGATGAGAGAGAGGGAAGGACAATCAATCAGTAGAGAAAAGGAATTTGTAGGGAATTGCAGGCTTTGCTTCATATCTTGAAAGTGTCACTGTTGCATAAGACTAAATTGTTCAGCCAAATATTGCTTCATATAAAGTTACTCACTGCTGAGTTTGGCTGAGCTATCTTTTTTTTCTTTTTTAGAATCATGCACATACCACCCAGGTGTCCCTGTCTTTCATGATGCTCTTAAAGTAAGTGGGCAAATATAAATTTTTTCAACAGCTTTTAAAAAACTGAAACTAAATCATTTAATTCAGTTAATTCAAGTGTCGACATGACCTCTGTCAGTTTTCCTCAAATAACACTGACCTTCGGTATAAATACAGGCTAAATCATGGGGGGGGGGGAGAAGGAAGGTTGGTACATGCAGCCAACTGAATTGTGTGGAATTCTTTTCAGTTTATTCATTTGGGGGGGCTCAGTCGGGCAGAAGGATATTTACTAGATAATGATTCATATTTTGTAAAGTTAATTAACTTGTTTCATTGCTTAATCAAGCCTTAGTTTGATTAAGTACAAACAGAGATGAAAAGAAATGATGCAACTGAAAGACAAAAAATAGGAACCATGTCAAATAACTTAAGAGGAATATAGCACCATCAGATTAGCGTAAAATCTTCTTCTTTGTAGTTCACATGATTTTTAATAATATTCACCAGAAGCTGGAGAGCAACCATCCTAGATGGGAGGAGGGCTCAAGAAAGGATTTAGCTTGGTCTCCCTAACTAAACACAACAGGTCTAGGTCTAAACTCCTTCCCCTTGAATCACTTAGACCTTATTTGGTCTTTTCTAGACAAAATTTGCCAGTCTGGGTAGATTCTTGTACTATAGGCAGAGAACAATAAGGTAGCTCTATACGTGTGGGTCTGGTTGTTTGCACCTGACACTCGATAAGATTTAAATGTTCAATGTTGCCATATTTTTATAGGGCTGGTCGTGCTGTAAAAGAAGAACGACAGACTTTTCTGATTTCTTAAGCATTAAGGTATGTATTAGCTATGTAGGTTTTATTTATACTATAGTATGATATTAGTGCTTGAGTGCCAAATTCAATCAATTAAATTTTCCAGGAAGGCGAACACATGCAAATGCTGGCTGGTTTTATTTAATTTCCTACATGGCACATGGTGTTTAAATGGAACTCTTACTATCTAAGCTTTTTAAAGCACAGGATCTCTGCTGTCCTAACATCTTACAATAGGTGAAGAACAGAAGTTGGTGTAGGTGTATACATATGATTACTCTAGTTGAAAAAAAAAAAGGAATATCCGTTTAACCAAGCATACAAATTAGAATGATAAAGAATCTGAAGGCTAATAAGAAAGGAGACATTTTCAATTACATCGATAGAACTGAGTAGCAATTTGTATTAAACTGTGTTTTTACAACAGGGTTGCACCAAGGGCTTCCATAATAGTGAGAAACCCCCTGAACCACTCAAACCTGAAGTGAAAACTACTTGTGAACAAAAAGAATTAACTGATCTGAAACCTAAATTTCAAGAGCACATAATTCAAGCACCAAAGCCAATAGAAGCAATTGAAAGACCCAGGTAACAATACTACGATAACACCAATTAAGATTGGCAATAATGTCAAGTCAACTTCATAGGTTATAACTTCATTTTTGTTATATTTATTACTGGCTGTCTAAGTAAGCATAATGTGTTAAGTGTATTTTATTTTACTTTTTTCCCTGAAGAGAAGAAACCCAAAATATCTTTGTAAAGCAACCTCAGATAAAATTGTAAACCTATAATATAATCCTTTTTAATGATAATAACTACCAAGAAAATTAATATGAAGAACTCTTTTTTAACTTCTTTTAAATATTCAAAATATTTAGTTGTTGAGACTGAATAATTAAAATGATGCATTTTTCCCTATGATTCCTTAGTTCTGATGAACCAATGAGCTGCTTGCAGTTGAAAGTGTCAGCTTCCTTGAAACAGTCATTAGAAAAGCTAAAACTATCAGCGGAAAATGAAATAAAAAAGGGTATGTAGCTTAGTAACATTCCAAAGGATTTTTACCAGAGAATGTGTTGTGTCCATTATTATTATCATAATACTCCATTCGTACAGTGTGCACGGTGTTTTCATGTTTGAAAAGCAAACATCCTGGACACAAAATACTCACTACGAGTGCTTCTCTGATCTCTTGTACATCCCCCCCAATTTCTTTTAAGCATGAAAACTTAGAAACATTCTAAAGAGAGTTCTTATTTTACAGAAGATGATGGCGATGAGATAAAGATTGGGACTATGTGCAAAAATGCAGGTTGTTCAAAGGTAAATATCTTAAATCTTAGATAAACAACACAGTAGACCTTCTGTTTTATTTCAAGTGGGTTTTTTTTAGTACAGACCTGCTAACCAATATTAGATCAACATATCCCATGAATAGGGGTGTGTGTGTGTGTGTGTGTGTGTGTGTGTGTAATACAGCTGCCTAGCATGCAAGCTGCCCAGGTTCGAATCCCAGAGGGGTATGACTAGCTGATGAGAGCTAAAGAGCTTGAAATAGCTATACTAGTCTCCCACTAACTCTTCGTCAGCCACAAACTTTTGAATTTACAGTATTCACAGTATGTGACGTCTGCCTGCAAAACATGTTCCTAGATTGGAGCAAAACGCAGAACAGACTGATTTATATTTGGTAGACCGGTGCTTCGCCCAACAGATAAGATATATCAAAGTGCATTTTCTTGCATTCTGAGCAAAGGGAGTTTTCACCCATTTTCTTATTTTTGAACACACGTTAATCAAGCCAACAATATTGTTAATTTAAACAAAGTCTAAAATTGAAATATTGGTCCAAATCTGCATAGCTAAATATTTTTCCAAAGTCCCTCAAAAAGAGCCACAGAAAAGCATTCCCTCCTCCCCCTTTCTTTCTCCTCCAGACAGCTGGAGGACACTTGGCTAATTGCGAGGCTCTCTTAGCTAATGACCAGTGGGAATTGCAAATTAATAAAAACGGCTATGAACCTGCATCACTTCTTCCTGCTTGGGAAGCATTGGGAAACAGAATGTCTATGGAGATTCCCAGTCATCCAGGTCACGATGGTCCCAAGGGTGCTTTTTCAAAAGGCAACTGAACTTTGTTTTTTCTTTGAAGACGTTTCGCTTCTCATCCGAGAAACTTCTTCAGTTCTGATTCAATCAGAATCAGAGAAGTGAAATGTCTTCAAGGAAAAACAAAATCCAGTTGCCCTTTGAAAAAGTACCTTTGGGACATTGGGATGCAGCCTGCTATAATTCAGTGGCTAATGAATTATTTTCTGCTAACGTTTCCCTAGACATTTGAAGGACCAAGCAGCACAGAAGATGTGTGTATTTATCATGCTGGTGTGCCCATATTCCACGAAGGGTGGGTATTGTGTGGCTTAATTAATTCTTAAAAATTTATATAGCCAAGCAGAATGTTTGGATTACTTGCCATAATGCTATGTGATTCTATGCAGTGTTTTTTTTTTCTCCTGCTCTTTGTAACATATAGGATGAAGTATTGGAGTTGTTGTAAGAGGAAAACATCAGACTTTAATACTTTTTTGGCTCAAGAGGGCTGCACAACAGGAACACATCTATGGATTAAGAAGGATGCCGTAAGTAGTTGCAGCTGTATTGTTTGACTGGATTGATTGGAAAAATCTAAATATTTTTGGCTTTGCTTTTAGTCCATTCGTACCTTAAGATAAAAGCTTGAATTCTGTAAAATTTCATATACAGGAAAGAAGTGATAGTTTGAACAGTACAGGTAGTTCTTGGCTTACAACAGTTCATTTAGTGACCGTTCACAGTTACAATGGCACTGAAAAAAATTTGACTTATGCCCGGTTTTTCACACTTACAACTGTTGCAGCATCCCCACGTTCACATGATCAAAATTGCGAGAATTGGGTATGTCTAGTTTAACGAAGAGAAGGACAAGGGGGGACATGATAGCAGTATTCCAATATCTCAGGGGCTGCCATAAAGAAGATGGAATTAAGCTATTTTCCAAAGCACCTGAAGGCAGGACAAGAAGCAACGGGTGGAAACTCATCAAGGAGAGAAGCAACCTAGAACTAAGGAGAAACTTCCTGACAGTGAGAACAATTAATCAGTGGAACAGCTTGCCCCAGAAGCAGTAAATGCTCCAACACTGGAAGTTTTTAAGAAGAGACTGGACAGCCATTTGTCCGAAATGGTGTAGGGTTTCCTGCCCGAGCAGGGGGTTGGACTAGATGACCTCCAAGGTCCCTTCCAACTTTACTACTTTACTAATTCTTTACTAATTTACTTACTAATTCCTATTTATGACGGTTGCAGTGTCCCAGGGTCATGTGATCAGCTTTTGCAACCTTCTGACAAGCAAAGTCAGTGGGAAGCCAGATTCACTTAACAGCTGTGTTACTGACTTAACAACTGCATTGATTCACTGAACAACTATGACAAGAAAGGTCGTAAAATGGGAGAAAATTCACTTAACAAATATTTCATTTTGCAACAGAAATGTTTGTTTCAATTGTGGTCGTAAGTTGAAGACTACCTGTATTTAGAGGATCCTCTATATAGAATGAAATGAAGGATTTATACATTAAACACATTTTACAAACATACTTCTTTGAGTTGTTCGGGCAGTTGCTAGTAGGTTATTCTATGCCTTATTCCACAGGTTAATCTCTTTTTCTAAAAATGCCATTGTACCAGAGGTTTAGCTCTAATTGTCCTTTTGAAGCACATTGCCAGCAAGATTTTGAAAAGTGTTTATTTATTTTTACCCCATCTTTTATTATTTTTATAAATAACTCAAAAATTAAAACATCGAAAATGACATTGATGGGTCCTTGAACAGGAGAGCTTAGGTAGAACTGTATGTTGTGTCTTCCACTCAGCATTAAACCTTAATCATACAGATTCCTTAGAATTGTCCAGAAAATATATTCTATGTATATTCTTTTTCCTACAAGAGGGGAGGGTGTCCTCAAAACTGGGTTACCCGTCTCACTTGATCCAGTAGATTAACCTATGGCTAGAATGGGAAAGAAACACCTTCCCATCACTTTGCTAATTGTTCTTGTCTAGCTCCAGTAAGCAAGGTATATGAGGACCTGTTCCTCTCCTGTTTAGCTCTCTGATGACTGGAGCTGGCAGATATTAGTAGCACTTAGACATATATACCATGTAGTGCTTTACAGACCTCTCTAAACAGTTTACAGAGTCAACATATTGTCCCCAACAATCTGGGTCCTCATTTTACCAACGTTGGAAAAATGGAAGGCTGAATCAACCTTGAGCCCATCAGGATCGAACTGCTGGCTGTGGGCAGAGCTTGCCTGCGATACTGCATTCTAACCACTGTGCCATCGGGCCTCCTATAGAAAAATCAAAGGAATCCATATAATTAAGGTTTGATGCATGGTAGATCATGATAAAATTCCTGGGCACAAATATTGATATTTGTTGAAGAAATATATTTTATTTGTGGAGCAGCCTTTTTACAAGTAGTCCTTGACTTAATGACCAATAACTGCGACCATAACTTCTTTTGTTAAGCTAGTCCCATCCAATTTAACAATCTTTTTGCAATAGTTGTTAAATGAATCATTGCAGTTGTTAAGTGAACCTCACATTGTTAAACAAATTCCACTTGTTTGTCAGAAGCCATCTGGGAAGGTTGCAAATGATGATCACTGGACCTCGGGACATATGCAACGATTATAAATACATGTCAGTAGCCAATCATCCAAATGTTGATTACGTGACCACAGGTCTGCTGCAACAGTTATAAACATGAGGATCAGTTGTAAGTCACTTTTATTAGGGCTGTTGTAACTTCAAATGATCACTAAATAAATGGCTGTAAACTGAGGACTACCTGTATTCCTTTTTATGACAGTACTGTTAAGAGTCTCTCTTGCAATGAACTTGCTGGAGTCGATTGTGCAAGTAGACAGGAGACAAAGTAATGGGGACTTACAAAGTTCTAGGACAGTGTTTCCCAAACTTGACAATTTTAAGGCATGAGGACTTCAACTCCCAGAATTCCACAGCCAGCAATGCTGGCTGTGGAATTCTGGGAGTTGAAGTCCACATGCCTTAAAATTGTCGAGTTTGGGAAACACTGTTCTAGGAGGTTTGGGTCTACCTTTCATAACCTTAGGAAAACTTAAATTTAAAAAATATATTTCTGTGCCTTGTCCTACTTGGTAGGGTGGAAAAAGTACAGATTCCTTTTGTTAGTTAAAGACACAGGTTCTGCCAACTGGGGATAATCTTCCTTTTGCATAAATGTTCCCATACTAGTTTTTAGGGAAAGTTTCTGTTCCAAACTGTGGCTGACAATGGCAATCTTCACTCCAATGGAAAAATAGATAGCAGAGATTTTTTGTAATGGAAAATTAACCGTGTTTGTCTGCTCAACTTTAAGGGGAAGAAGGTGGTCCCCTGCAGACACGATTGGCATCAAACTGGACGTGAGGTGACAATTTCAATCTATGCGAAGAATTCCATTCCTGAACTTAGCCGAGTAGAGGCAAACAGTACATTAGTAAGTTATTCTTTTGCTTTGGTGGGGCTGATGTACATGCGTAGACTTTTGGTTGATTGATTCATTGATTGTTGTTATTAGTTGCGAAGTCGTGTCCGACCCATCACAACCCCATGAACAACGTTCCTCCAGGCCTTCCTGTCCTCTACCATCTTTTGGAGTCCGTTTAAGCCCACGCCTACCACTTCAGTGATTCCACCCAGCCACCTCATTCTCTGTCGTCCCTTTCTTCTATTGCCCTCAATCTTTCCCAGCATTAGGCTCTTCTCCAGTGAGTCCTTCCTTCTCATTAGGTGGCCCAAGTACTTGATTTTCAACTTCAAGATCTGGCCTTCTAAAGAGCAGTCGGGGTTGATCTCTTCTAGGACTGACCGGTTTGATCGCCTTGCAGTCCAGGGGACTCGCAGGAGTCTTCTCCAGCACCATAGTATGTTTACATACCATCAAGTCGGTATTGACTCTCAGTTTACAGAGATAGTTTCCCCATGATGATCTGCCCCTGACCTGGTACTTCAGCTCATCCAATGATGTTCTTATTACCACTGTAATGAGTTAGGTTTTACCATCAAAAAACAGAAACAGATTTCAGGATACTGCATTAGAAAGCAGGGGTTATGTGAGACATCTTCCATAGAGCAACCTGACATTAAACTATGTCTATTAAATTAGTTACAGTAAAGGATATGCACACAAAGGATAAACATGTAGAGGTAGTCTTAGTTCTTTATAGTTTTTTTATTTGAGGCTGATTAAAAAGCTAATTGCCTGTCGGATGGAGGATATAACAATATAATGGGTACGCAATTGGCTCAAAGAGTAATCATCAAATTGTAGGCAGGTCTTAAGTGAGATGACACATAGTCCAGAACTGGAGCTTGTAATTTTTAACATTTTCATTGGATGAGAACATAGAGGGATCTCTTATCAAATTTGTAGAGGGCATAACATCGGGTGGCATAATTAATATTCAGAGGACAAAAAAAAATTCAAGTTAGAGGGATGGGCTGAAAATAGCAATGTAATATAATAGAAGCAAATACAGCATTCTTGACTTAGAAATTTAGCACATGGAAACAAGGTGGCAAATACTGGATTAATAATGGCAGTTGTGAAAAAGAGATCCGGGTGATTGGCAAATTGGATATGAGCCAGTGGTGCGAAAAAGACAGATGCAATTTTATAAGGCATCAGTCGATACACAATTTCCCAACTGTGGGATTAATCATTCTGTTTCACTATGTTTTATTTGATTATCTGAGATGGTATCAAGTTTGGAGCACCATGCTTTAAGAAGGACTCAGAGAAATGGCAGCAGGATAATCTAGAAATAAAGTTTTATAAAGAGTGGTTGAAGAATTGAAAATTCTGTTTTTCTTTCATACAGTGTTTCTCAGTCTTGGCCAGTTGAAGATGGGTGGACTTCAACTGGCTGGGAAATTCTGGGAGAGGAAGTTCATCCATCTTCAGCTGGCCAAGGCTGAGAAACACTGCTTTCATATATTTAAAAGGAAGGGTTATTTCCAAGTAGTAATAATAGACCTGGCTGGATAAATGTGAGTAAACGTGCATTTCTATTTTATTGCATAAACCTTCCTTTCTTTTGCAGGTAAATATCCATATTGTGTTTGAAGGCGATAAGGTGTTCAGTCAGAATCTGAATTTATGGGGTGTAAGTACATAATTCTGCTACAAATTTTCAAGTTTCTCTTGAAGCCTTTTTTTATGGATTCTGTTGTCAGACTTTCCTAACGGGGTGTGATTGTGTTTTTAGAAATAGGCAAATGCCAAAGTCTGGTTGACTGTTGTGGCAGGTGGTTGATGAATGGATTCTGGGCACATAAGTCATTATTAAAAGGGTGATTTGAAAAATTCCACATGGCACCGGTCAATCAGTTTTTCATTCATCACAAGCACAGCCTATTAGAAAATGAGTTAAAAACCTAGCACGCTGTCCTTTGACTCTCTTGAAATAAAACGGTGACATTTAGGGTAGATTGTGTAACTGCTTATTGATCTCAGAAATATAGATAAGCATTCAAAACTGCTGTTACCAGTTTCCTGTTTTAATACTTTGGGAGCAAAATTTCCTATTCATTTGCCAAGAACAGATAGTCCTTGGCTTATGACCACAATTGAGCCCAACATTTCTGTTGCTAAGTGAAACCGTTGTTCAGTTAATTTTGCTGCATTTTACGGCCATTCTTGCCACAGTTGTTCAGCGAATCGCTGCAGTTGTTTACGTTAGTAACACCGTTGTTAAGTGAATCTGGCTTCCCCCATTGGCTTTTCCTTGCCAGAAGGCCGCAGAAGGTGATCATGTGACCCCAGGACTCTAGCCGTCATAAATAGGAGCCAGTTGCCAAGAGTCTGAATTTTGATCACGTGACCATGGGGATGCTGCAGTGGTCATAAGTGTGAAAAATGGTCCTAAGTCACTTTTTTCAGTGCCATTGTAACTTCGGTCACTAGGCTGTAAGTCGAGGACTGCCTGTGTTCATTTTATGCACAATTATTTCAAAGGTAATATTGAGTCATGTGTACAAGTTGGATTCCCCCCCCCCCAGATTTGATGAACTTGAACTAAGAAGCCTCTTTCTGAAGTTATAATAGTGCTTACCGGTTTTTCTTTAATGAATAAGGACTATCATGTATTGATACTATAATTGCCCACTGAGTGTATCGCATTTAAGGGGGTCCATAAGCCACCCAGTTTACTGCTTGAGCTGAGTCCGCTATTTTCCTCTTCCAGGTGATTGATGTGAAAAGAAGCTACGTAAATATGACCGCTACAAAGATTGAGCTCACCATGAGGAAAGCTGAGCCCATGTTATGGGCAGGCTTGGAACTCCCAGCATCCAAATTGCAACCCAAAGAGCCTCAAAACATTGTGGGACAAGCTTGAAATCTGAAAAAGGGTCTGGCTGCTGTGCCTGGTGAAATGGTGACTTGGCGTTTTAACCCAGATTGATTTTATAGGCAGCCCACTTTTTAAAATATTTTCATTCCAGCTCAAGTGCAGTGCATGGCTTTTTAAGCAGTAGGGCAGACCACTGGTTTTGTTGTACCAACTCCTTATTTTGCCCAGTTATGGCTGATGCTTGTAGAAACCTTGCAAACCTCAGAATTTTCTCTGTCATCCTTATAAAGGGAGCATGTGTTCTCATTGGCCCAAACTAAACAACGTCTAGAAACTAATCGCCCCTAGCATTTTTCCAGGAAGCAGCCTCTTATATATTGAGAATCCAAGTCAAATTTTCATTTGGTAGTTAGATGCGTGCAAGATTCTTGTTTCTCAGTCTGTAGCAAGGAGAGAGCACAGGGGGTTATTGCTGCGTTTCTGTATCACCTTTTTTTCATGTCATTTGATGCAGAAGTAGAATGGCAGAGAAAAATCTGATGGTTTTAGAGTTGTCTGTGCAAAGAAGCTGGTGATTCTTTTTTTTTTAATTCTTTGGAATTCAGGAAATATAGTGTCAGTGAGCTGCTGAGCTACCTCTGTGCACTTATTCAGAAAGCCAAGGCTTTCCAAGAACAAAAATTTCCAGGCACTGGAAATTTTGGGTCACCGGGCGCTGTTTCATTTGCTTCTCTTATGCCTTGCCCTCCACCATAGAGGAAACAGCATATACAAAATGTCCATATTTGCACATCTGATTCTGGCAGCTGTGCTTTTCTGATCAATTTTTCCATCTCCTTTGTGGTAAAGCAAATAAGGCATCTTGGTATATACTGAGACTCTCAGTTTGCTACCTTTTGCCAAAAGTGTGACTTTTAATGGGAATAGGGGAAGCTGGGAGGGATGAAATTCCTGCAACAAGTGCAAAATGGTCAGCTTCCTGCAAAGCTAGGATCTTTGTATAAATTCCAAAGTGTGTTGCAGAATAAGTTACTGAACTTTTCGTATACTTGAAGATGGCAAAACTACTATGGAAGCAGAAGGTCTCAGTGGCAACACTCAAGTCCTAAGTGACTGCACGAAGAAGGAGGGGACTTTTTTAAAAAGTATGGTTACTTGTATTTATAATACTTCTTATTTTTTTAAAAAAGAAAAAGTTTTAATCTGGCAGTTTTTGGAGGAAAATAAAGCAGCCTTTCGTTTTCTAGGAAAAGATAGGCGCCCCAAGTCTGCAGCCCAGTGCCAGGCCGTGGCCTGTTGGGAACTGGGGCCACAAGTGGCAGGCAAGTGTGCCTGTGCGATGCTGCCTTGGTGCAAGTGGCATGTGCACACACAAAACCATCCCCTCTCCCTACCTCACCACCGGTGGTCCACAGAGCAGGAAAAGTTGGGGACCTTGGTCTAGAACAGAGTTTCTAGACCTTGACAAGATGTGTGGACTTCAACTCCCAGAATTCCCCAGCCAGCATAGCTGGCTGGGGAATTCTGGGAATTGAAGTCCACACATCTTAAAGTTGTCAAGGTTGGGAAACACTGGTCTAGAAGATAGACAATAATAAACCGTACATCTTCAGAATCTGCCTCTTCTGTCCTTTGTGCTCCAGTGTTAGCTCTGGAGCATCTGCTTTTCTGATCTGGATGATCTGTTTGTTTGAATTTCTGCCTAAAAGCCACCACACTACCCAAATCACCCTTGAATACAAGTATCCTGCATTCAAGTGTCTGGAGAAGCCATTCAATCACTGCCAGCAGATTCTTTTGGTGATTATAGATACTTCCTATGGTTTGACCTCTGAGCAAGACGACAAATTGCATAAAGACAGGTCAAGCAGAACTTTAATTGCAGACAAAGTAGAGCATGGTGAGTACAATCTCGTCTTCTGAAATTTGAAAGCCAAAAAAAAAAAACAACTTGCCCTTCAAGGGCAAAGCCATGGTTTAGAATAGCATGTAAGAATTGGTGGAGACCGTTCAACAAATCCAAGTTGATCCTAATTGTCTACTTAAAAGTTTATGGAGGGCAATTTTCCAACAAGAGATCAATTTAGTCTCAGAATATCAAATGGTTGCGCTTTGTTAACGGTGTATTTTTACTTCCCAGCATTGTCCTGTTTCATGAGCATGACACTTGGGTCCAATTCATATTGCATAGCTTTGTTCAAAGACAACGGTGCTAGCAAGAGTTGAAACCAATAGCTGCAGGCCCCTTTGGAGAACAGTTCTCCACTCTCCAGATTGTCATTGCGTGTTCATTTACTTGCTTTGATAAAGTCTGGTTTTTAACCACTAAGTTACCCCACTGTAACTTTCCTGGTTTTTGTTGTTGTTGTTGCCCATAGAATAAGCAGGTGGCACTTGAGTGAACAATTTCCACAGCCTTCTGTGGTTCATACTTATTTAGGGATAGATTCATTATGTGCAATCTTTCCCACCATTGTGTATTCCTGAAGGGACTTGCCAACATTCTTTGCCATTTTTGTAGTCTCCTATTGCAGGAGTCCCCAACTTTAGCAGCTTGTGGACTTCAGTTCCTGGCTGAGAAATTCTAGAAGTTGAAGTCCACAAGTCTTAAAGTTGCAAAGGTTGGGGATGCTTGTTATTGGGCAAGAAAAGCTGATCAATCGTTTAGCTTGGAGTGTTAAATTGCAAGGCCTCAATTTTCATGTTTAGAGTTGAATCACTTTTTCCCACGTAAAACGCATGGGCATTCTTAATGCAAAGTATGTTCAAATTGGGATCAAATTATATTCAGATATTAGTGCTATACAGCCAAGTCATCATTTCCACAGTCAGTACTGCTGGTTTTGCCTTGGGAAAAAAAAATAATCTATTCTGTATACTAATAAAAAATATTTGCTTTAAATTATAGCATGGGAATTTTTTAAAAAAAAAATCAGTGGCTGTTAACTTTTTTTCATACCTATCTAAGAACTTCACTTGTGCATGAAAAATGAAGAAGGGTGTCTGGAACACTAGGTTTTTCAAAAAAAAAATCATTTTTTGGTTTTTCCTATGCATAGATGTTCATTTTAAATTGTATTGGAGGATGTTTCTGGTTTCATGCGTTCAGATATTATTTATCAATTTTGAAATAAACAGTTTAGTGCCTAATTTCTACCTTTTGGGAAGAATTGTGAGAATATTTTATTCATTTATTTGTATACTTATTTGTTATATGTAAGAAGACCTGGTTGCTCAGATCCATAAAAGATTAGTTGAGTATTCTGACTTAGATTGTGTAAGTTTGCAGATGACAATGCAGAGGATGTATTTTATTGACAATTTTCATCAAAGCCGTTGGCAATTTAATACCATGGAAGGACCCATACAGAATGCTTTTATCATATCTGGAACAACTGCTACTTATAGAGAGAGATCGCTTTAAGCAAAGTTGAGGCATATATTTCTCAAAACAAAATCAGCTTCCACAGAGGATCAATCTACCCCATTCTCTCAACCTGGTTTGATGTTAGTTGTATTCAATGAGCAATGTAGCCTCAACATATCTGAAGAATACCATTTGGAGGAAAGCTGAACCCTATGTTATTAAGAAGCTGGGGGGGGAACCCCACTCTGTTTGGAGGTAACATGTAGATGACATTTGACATGGGAATGTACACAAGATATGAAAAACGTGTTGTATCTGACATGGAATAAACTACAAATACTCCTCAAACTTATGACTGGTCCTTAACAATGAAGTTACAGCAGACCTCCCCAGAGCTACTTATGACCTGTTTTCAGGGTTATAGTGGCCACACACATATCCTTTGTATCACATGGTTGCATTTTGGATGCTTGGCAACTTTAGGGCCATAATCACAATTTGCAACCTTTTTTTTTTACCATTTTTACCATTTCCCAGCGCCCATTCAGGAAAAAAAAACCCTATTTGCTTAATGACTGTAGCATTTGTTTAATCGTAAAAATTGGTCATGGCTTCAAATCCAGTCATGGGATGCCTCAACTTACACCCACAATGACTTACAATCATACTTCTGGACTCTGTTAAAGTTGAAGACTACCAGTGTTGCATTCCAGAGGCCCTGCTGAAACCTTCAAGTCAACTGCTGATTTGGGAGAACGAAATCCCACAACACTTTCAGTTGTTTGTTATTTCACACTTCTGAGCTGCCCATCTCTCTCTCTCTCTCAAAAAGGGACTTGTTCCACGTTTCAGGTCAAGCCCAATCTCTAGATCAGGGGTAGGCAACCTTGGCTCTTTTATGACTCGTGGACTTCAACTCCCAGAATTCCTGAGCCAGCATGGCTTAGCTTGAAAACGTCTCACTCTCCCCTCAGCCTGGCTGGCTCAGGAATTCTGGAAGTTGAAGTCCACGAGTCATAAAACGGCCTAGGGCAGGGTTAGGCAACCTTGGCTCTTTTATGACTCGTGGACGTCAACTCCCAGAATTCCTGAGCCAGCATAGATCAGCTTGGAAACTTCTCACTCTCCCCTCAGCATGGCTGGCTCAGGAATTCTGGGAGTTGAAGTCCACGAGTCATAAAAGAGCCAAAGTTGCCTACCCCTGCTCTAGGGCAAGTAGGGCAAGGCTGTGCACATAAGCACCTCTCTGTGGAGATTCCCAGCCATCCAACCAGTCATAGTTGTTTTCAAAAGGCAACTGGACTTCCTTTCTTTTTCCTTGAAGACGTTTCGCTCCTCGTCCAAGAAGCTTCTTCAGTTCCGACTGAATGGTGGAGAACGGAAGTATTTATGCTCCTTGCAGTCATCCGGTCCTTAGCCCTCTCTCTGAGAATCGTTGAGGCCACTTGGGGGTTTATCTGTGCCCTGGGGCTCACCTGAATAGTGCAAATGTGGGTGGGACGTTCTGGAATTACTGAAAAGATTGTTGTAAATAGTAGATAGATATTGAGAGAGGGCGGCTCAATCTTAACATAAGATGGCCTCTTTGATCTCTTTCAAGCCAATCGTCTTCTCTGTCCAGAAATGGGTCAAAGAACCCATGTACAATAAAATTGATACACAGCGGGAGGGACACCACCTGTCTCCCGTTTACAACACAGTCCTTTCAGCAGTTCCAAGAAGGTTCCACGCCCATTTGCACTATTCAGGTGAACCCCAGGGCACGGATAAACCTCCAATTGGCTTCAACGATTCTCAGAGAGAGTGCTAAGGACTGGATGACTGCAAGGAACATAAATCCTTCCGTTCTCCACCATTCAGTCAGAACTGAAGAAGCTTCTTGGATGAGAAGTGAAATGTCTTCAAGGAAAAATAAAGTTGCCTTTTGAGGGACATTCCCACCTCTCCCTCGTCACCATGGGCTTCCTGAGCTGCATAATCCATCGCTCCAAATTTTCCAAACAGCCTCTCTCTTTAGCTGCCATCAGGGATGACCCATTCTAGTATGTCCCGCTCCCTTGCCTGCCCCCAGATCTTTCAAGAGTCTTCTCTCCAGTACTTCTGCTACTGCTACTGTTACGTATCTTCCACTCAGCCAACAATTTCGTGTCTTTCCCACCACCCCACCACTTCTATCTTCATCATTTGTGCTCAGAAGAAAACAGCTATATTTTGTTTCATGCAATGAGCAGAAACAGCTTCGTTGTATTTTGCGCATAATCCAAAACACCAAAGCAGCCAGTCTGAAATCAGCTATCCCGTTCACAGGCCAATTTTTTGGGACAGAGCAATGTTGACATCCCTAGGCTTGATCAGTTGAAGCTAGATGTTTGGGACTGCCTTAAGCAACTAAATGCAGATAGTCCTTGACTTAACAACCGTTCATTGAGCAACAGTTCAAAGTCAGAGCAAAGCTGAAAAAAAGTGACTTGCAGTCGGTCCTCTCACGAACGTTGCAGGGTCCCCACGGTCACGTGATCAAAATTTGAGCAGTTGGCATGAATTTACAACAATTACAGGGTGCTGTGTTCCTGTAATTGCCATTTGTGGCTTTCCCAGCCAGTTTCTGACAAAGAAGGCAATGGGGCAGACCATATTTGTTTAACTACCCTTTGATTCACTAAGCCAGTGTTTCCCAAACTTGACAATTTTAAGGCATGTGGACTTCAACTCCCAGCAATGCTGGCTGTGGAATTCTGGGAGTTGAAGTCCTCATGCCTTAAAATTGTCAAGTTTGGGAAACACTGCACTAAGCAACTACAATTATTTGCTTAATAACCATTGTGTCT